GGCTGAGACTGTTAATAAAAGGTGGAAGGTGGGGACTATGTGAAGCTCTGCTGCATCCAGGGCACTTGGAGCCCTTGTCCAGCCCCACGCAGGGCACCCCCAGCTCCCACGGAGACGAACAGGAGGCGAGCGGAACGGCAGCTCTGTTATTCAGAAGGTCGCATGGTTTAAATACATTACATACATTTCTACAGTGCATTGGAACGATACATGTTGGGTCAGACGGAGGTGCAGGAGGCTGGGCCCGAGGAGCTTCTCTCCCACCCCATCCTCACAGCATTCCCCCACCCTAGCCGAGCCAGCACTGAGCCCCCTGCACCTCCCTTGAGACCCTGAGACCCACGAGCTGCCCTCCCCCTCAGGCCCACGCAGCAGTACCCCAGCCAGCCCCCACTGGAGTAGCACAGGCGTGCGGGACCTCCAGGGCCCCTGCAACAGGAAAAGCCACAGCTCCAGGCAAGCGGATGCACGTTAGAGAGCAGCTCAGCAGCTCCTCTCCTGCCACGTGCATGAAGCCCCTGCTGGTGTCAGCGCCAGAGTAGAGAGGCCAAGACCCCACCATACTGCTGGAGTGGCACCGCTGCTGGGGCTCCCACTCCCCGCCGAGGAAGAACAGCTCCAGGCCCTGGTACACTGAAGGGCACCGAGACAGAGACGAGGCTAGGGCCCCAGCAGCCATGGAGCTGGCAGGAGGGAAAGCCAAGCGAGAGAAGCTGCAGGGACAGCCCTGGGAGCAGGGACGGGGACCAGCCAGCACAGGGCTGCTCGCACCACATCCTGCCCGGGGCCAGGCGAGCTCCTGGGGACTACGGCACCTCCCAGAGCTGCCCACTCCTCAGCAGGACCAGTAAGCACCTCGTCCCCCTTGTGTCCCCCCACAGCCCAGGACTAGGCGCCCCTCGTCCCTCTCCCCTGCCCCAGCCAGAGAACAGCTGTTCATGACGGTCCCCACCGCCCACGGGCGACAGGGACTCCCCTGAGGAAAGCAGCGTGCATGGGGTGGGGGCAGAGAAGAGGGGGGAGCAGAGCACCCTTGGGAGTG